TTATTGGCTATGGTTATTGGTATCATTATTGGCTATGGTTATTGGTATCATTATTGGCTATGGTTGATTGTAACATTAAAACCTCACCTACCTCCTCCATTTACAATAGCCAAGGCAGCTTGTTTGTATAATTAATGGCTATAGATAAAACCTCACCTAGCTCCTCCATCTACATAGCCAAGGCAGCTTGTTTGTATAATTAATGGCTATAGTTAAAACCTCACCTAGCTCCTCCATCTACAATAGCCAAGGCAGCTTGTTTGTATAATTAATGGCTATAGTTAAAACCTCACCTAGCTCCTCCATCTACAATAGCCAAAGCAGCTTGTTTGTATAATTAATGGCTATAGTTAAAACCTCACCTAGCTCCTCCATCTACAATAGCCAAGGCAGCTTTCTGTGAGGACACTCCCTCCACCAGGTATTTCAAAGTTCGGTCAATGTCTTCTCGAAGAAAACTTACGTTTTCTCCCGACTTATGGAGAAGTGTCTTGGTGATCAGGTCTAAGTCCTGTGAAGAAACAACAGAAAATAGTCTACAGTGTCCATATAAAAGTCGTTTACTCTCTCTCCAAGCCACGCTTCTCGTTGCTTACTGCTAAATACAAAATAATACAACGTTTTGACAACACAATCCACAAAGTTTCTTCTCGACAAAAACGTCGCATGTAAGTTTAATTTTGATTATATGTAAATAAGAAAGAGTTAGTAAAACATTTAACCCTATTAGTTTGTATACATACCAGTAATTTACAAAACTCGACTACTCTCAGAGGTTTAGAAAGCACATTAAAATGGGAGGAGGGAGGACAAGATTTATTTCACCGAGTGAAGCGAAGGATTGTTTGTTTGTTTGTTTTTTACTTTCGTGCAAAGCTACACGAGGGCTATCTGCGCTAGCCGTCCATAATTTAGCAGTGAACAACTATAAGGAAGACAACTGGTCATCACCACCAACCGCCAACTCTTGGGCTACTTTTTTTACCAACGAATAGTAGGATTGACCGTCACATTATAACGCCTCTACGGCTGAAAGGGCGAGCATGTTTGGTGTGACGGGGATTCGAACCCGCGACCCTCAGATTGCGAGTCGAGCGCCCTAACCACCTGGCCATGCCTTGAAACGAAGGAATGTACGCTACAGGAGCACCCATTACGACCGGGGCCCTAAGACGAGCCCTGAAAACTCTTGGGTTCTAGATTATATTCTATACATTCTGCTGCTTTTTCCGAGAATATTTTTATTAATTTCGATGCATTTTTACTGGGACAGATTGAAGAGTGGGGGGCCGCTCCCCCCCCCTCCCGCTTCCTACGTCACTGACACTGGTATATGGATTTTAACTTGAAACAATACAAAATCCAGTTTTAAGCACAAACCCTAATAAGACTTTAAGACACGGAAAGGATTGAACAATACTGCCCAGTCAATATGTATTACTTGTTAAGTGAGGTAGACCCCTTTAAAAAAAACATATATCTTCCAAAAATGTTTAAATAAATTACACGTACTGCTTCCGATGGCTTAGCGATAAGCTCGAAGCTTTTCACGCTAAAATTTAGGATCTGATAAACAAACTATAATGCAACTTTGCGCAAAATCAGAAAAATAAAGTCGATAAGATGCTGTTTTAAACAATATTAGTGCTGAATTGATTTTTATACTATAGAGATTTGATTTCGGATAGAACGACAACGATTTACTTCCAAGAGGCTTGTTTTAACTTAGTAGGTAATGGAAAAAATATTACAAATAATTTTCTTTGGCCAATCAGTTGTGAGAAATAAACAAGTTGTGGGAAATGTAAGTAACAGCCCTTTTCGACACAAAATATTCATACGCTTAGATCATAAAAGCATGTGTCAATCGATATCCCTTGTACTTAATGTAATTGGAAAACAATGAATATGGATCAACTTGAGGCACCAGCACCATCCAGAAAAAGATCTGCAACAAGAAATATCGCTGAACACGTGTATTTAAAACTTATGCCAAGATTCAAAAGGACAAGCACATTTTTTTGCACTATATAAATACAAATAAGTTACTTTAGGGTCCGTTTGAGATCAGAGAAGAAATCATAACTTTAATCATTTTTCTGTAGTCTCTAAATGAAATAAATTACTTACCACTAAAGAGCCACCAGGGGGCTCATTATTAAGAGTAAGCGTACATTGTATAGGTATAGGAATAGAGGAAGACAACACCCCAAATGTAGAATGACGAAGCCCATTGTGGTATCCCATAAGTTTCGATAGCTTTACGATTTTACTATGTCGAATTGCATTTTTAGTCTGTTTGTTTGTTTGAAGTTAAGCACAAAGCTACACAATGGGCTATCTGCGCTCTGCCCACCACGGGTATAGAAACCCGGTTTTTAGCGTTGTAAGTCCGCAGACATACCACTGTGGGGCGTTGTTTTAACAAAACCAACATCATGTTAGTTCAACCCTGCAGATTACAGTAATACATCAGCTGTAATAAACCTAGAGATTAAGTCAATGACGTAGAATGCTTAAAATCATAGTTTATTTTAGTGCTTTAATTTTAGGCCTCATTCAGTTTGCTATTATCAAAGAAAAAAAAATATGCTTACTGGCTCCATATGCCGAGTGAATTTCAAAAAAAATTCACCGAGTGTAGTAATTGCCGCCCGGGAAACAGTGGACCGCAAATTCCGAATTTCTGGTAACACAACTAGAACAGCAGCATGTAGCTCTGGCTGTAAAACTTGAGGGTGATACTTAGCTAACCTACTGAAGTCGTTCATAGCCCCCACCTTTTGTAACCTGTTAAAATCAGACGAAAAGACACTTAGGAAACATTGAGTTTTTTTGCACTCTAAATTTGAAATATTATATTTGTTTTCTTTACTGGGCAGTTCCCATAACATCAGTATTCACTTTAGATATTTCAAACTTTCTATGAATTCAAGAAACACGCGTATATAAATATATTCATGAAACTATATACTTATAACAAAATGTAAAACAATTACTATAGCTTTATTTCTTATGGAGAAAAATGAAACTGAACTATTTAGTATTATACCTTATACACTGCTAAATAAATTGAAAGTCATGCCACATATAGAAACACAATGCAGTCAGGGGTGTATCGTATTAACCGGAGTAACACTGTGGCACTTGAAATTGGAGCTCAGTTCCGGAACTTCAAAGATTAACAATATATATACAAAAATAAGTTGTTTAGTTTACACCCGAAATGAATTGCCTTTCATAACCAAACTCCCAGTGTTAGAAAACACTCTAACTGTTCGTGATCCTCTGTGTACACTAGTTGAGCTCTCTTAGACCGTCAAGCATACATTCTATCACTCTCCCTCAGGAGCTGGCGTAAGGCACCGTACGACCGCTACGGCTCAACAAAAGGTGTCAAGATGGTGCAATATTTTGTCATACATCACGTGATTATTAAGGCACACGAATATAGTAACAAAACCTTTAACAAAATAACTTTTACAATTAAACTGTGTGTTTAAAACGTGCACATTTTTATATGGCTTATTATTTACATAACATACAAAGAGGGTAGCTTTTTATTAGATCTTTGTGCTAGCAGGGTAGGAGGTGTGCTTTATTTGTTTGTTTTAGACCAAAGCCAAATTGGGCTATCTGCTGTGTCCACCGCGGGGAATCGAACCTCAGATTTTAGCGTTGTAAGTCCATAAACTTAACGATGTCCCACCAGAAGGTGGGCAAAGATTTATAAAAGTCAAAGTTTGTAATGCAGTTAGAAATATAGTAAAGTAATCAGACACACGTTTTTAAAACATGTTATAATTTTAGTGATTTTAATATGGTACACAGTTATTGTTGTCTTCTTACTTTAAAGGAAATTGAGTTTTCTCTCATTAATATGTGCGTATTCAATTTATTACTAATGTAAGTAGTCTCAAATAATTAGTGCTGAACATAGTTTCTTAATTTAAAATGGACTCACGAAATTGGGAGTTCGGTTTAGAGATCTTTACCCTGATAATGACGTTACACATCTAACACATTTAGTCAGGGTTCTGACACTATACAATTTATCACTACACCAGAAACACAAAAAGTATGCACTCTATTATGTTCTAATATATATCGCCTTGTGAATTATGAGTATGTCAAAGTAACTAGGCAGAGTGGTAATTATGCGAGAATAAATATATATAATGTTCCACGTAATTCTACTTATACATTTATAACTTACTTGCCTGATGTTTATCATTGATTCAATATTTCCTGTGAATAGCGTAAAATACTTTCACAAGCTTTTGTAGATTCATGATTACACTACCTAAAGCAGGACAGAGCACATCTACAACAAAACAGTGTAATCTTGCACTCTTGTACTTCATTAGTACAACAAAATTAGACAGTGTAATCTTGGATCAAACACTCTTGTACTTCGTCATTAGACAGTGTAATCTTGGATGTACAACAAACACTCTTGTACGTCATTAGACAGTGTAATCTTGGATCTACAACAAACACTCTTGTACTTCATTAGACAGTGTAATCTTGGATCTACAACAAATGCTCTTGTACTTCATTAGACAGTGCAATCTTGGATCTACAACAAACACTCTTGTACGTCATTAGACAGTGTAATCTTGGATCTACAACGGTACAAGAGTGTTTGTTGTAGATCCAAGATTACACTGTCTAATGAAGTACAAGAGTGTTTGTTGTAGATCCAAGATTACACTGTCTAATGAAGAACGAGTGTTTGTTGTAGATCCAAGATTACACTGTC